CGTTTATCAAACTCACGTTACATAAGAGAACACAGCTGCATCTGCTCCGAACGCACTCGAACGCACCACCACCCAAACATCTGACAGACACTCGAACGCACCACCACCCAAACATCTGACAGACACTCGAACGCACCACCACCCAAACATCTGACAGACACTCGAACGCACCACCACCCAAACATCTGACAGACACTCGAACGCACCACCACCCAAACATCTGACAGACACTCGAACGCACCACCACCCAAACATCTGACAGACACTCGAACGCACCACGACAAAGGGTAACAAAGGAGCTTAAGTCCGTTGTTAAATAAAAAGAAAATAATTCATTATCCAGGAGATGAACAGGAAAAGAAAGACGTCCACAGAGAAGATAAGAATGGATTAAGACACGGTAGAAGGATCTATAAGGATAAAATAGAAGATCTCTGTTCAGGAGGAGATCTCAGAGCAGCAAGGAGAGGCTTTAATCAATCAATCAATCAAACTTTATTTGTACAGCACTTTTCATACATTTGAACTGTAGCACAAAGTGCTTCACATGCAACAGAAAAACTACAATACAATAATTAGTGTCATCAGCTGATGAGACCCGACTTGTGTCTCCTGATGACTCGTCCTAGTGGCAGCAGGTAAAGATTAAAAAGGGTTGGACCTAAAATTGAGCCTTGGGGAACTCCGCACTCCATTTTACATTTTGAGGAGGAGTGCTCCCCAAGACTAACAGAAAAATCTCTGTTTAAGTCAACGTCATCAGTGAACCAGTCATTTGGTGTAACAAGGTAAAATGTTCATGTTCATGGCTGATGATGCCCACTTGCCAAATGTTTTTAACTCCTTCTCTGCCAGGTTTGAGAGGACACTTTTTGGAAATGTAATTGGTAAAACCTGAATGTTCCTTGTTCTCAAAAACGATCTGTTGATCTCCCAAGAAAGTGTCACAAATGACATAAAAAGGTAAAGTGGAGTAAAGCCGCAGGGCGGATGGCGTCTGTGGACAGTCAGGTCCTGTATTTACTGCACTTTTTCACATGTGTCCAAATTCTGCCCAAATACAAACAACGTGGAAAAGATCCAGTGTTACACCTGTTCACACCTGCTCCTCCAAGTCCAGTCATTCAAAAGAACTCAGAGAATTCAGACCAACTGTTCTGACCTCATCAGTGATGAAAATATATGAGAAGATACGAAAAGAGAAGAAGAACATAAAACAGAACACGACTCCAGGTCTGAAATGATCCAAATGATTCTAGGAAGTTCTGTTTTAGTCCTGGTTTAGTCCTGGTTCAGTCCTGGTTCAGTCCTGGTTCAGTCCTGGTTTAGTCCTGGTTTAGTCCTGGTTTAGACCTGGTTTAGTTCTGGTTTAGTCCTGGTTTAGTCCTGGTTCAATCCTGGTTCAGTCCTGGTTTAGTCCTGGTTTAGTCCTAGTTTAGACCTGGTTTAGTTCTGGTTTAGTCCTGGTTTAGTCCTGGTTTAGTCCTGGTTCAGTCCTGGTTCAGTCCTGTCCTGTTCATGTTCCCGTTGGCGTCTCTGTATCATCTCCGGTAAAACCTTTGTTTGTGTTGATTTTTCCAAACGCTGATAACAACCACCACAGGGTCTAAACCAGAACTGAACCAGGACTAAACCAGGACTAAACCAGGACTAAACCAGGACTAAACTAGGACTGAACCAGGTCTGAATCAAGATTAAACCAGGACTAAACTAGGACTGAACCAGGTCTAAACCAGGACTAAACCAGGTCTGAATCAAGATTAAACCAGGACTAAACCAGGACTAAACCAGGACTGAACCAGGTCTGAATCAGGACTAAACCAGGACTGAACCAGGACTAAACCAGGACTAAACCAGGTCTGAATCAAGATTAAACCAGGACTAAACTAGGACTGAACCAGGTCTAAACCAGGACTAAACTAGGACTAAACCAGGACTAAACCAGGTCTGAATCAAGATTAAACCACGACTAAACCAGGACTAAACTAGGACTGAACCAGGACTGAACCAGGACTAAACCAGGACTGAACCAGGTCTAAACCAGGACTAAACCATCAACTGAATCACACATTTTGAACTTTGGGCAGAAGGATTCACAGATTCTGAGTTTGCTGAGGGTGAGTGGACTTTAAAAACCGAGAGGAGCACCCCCTGATGACATCACCGGGTGTAACGGAGTGTTGTGTTTCGTACAGAAGGACACAGACTAAATCTACAAAATCACCGAAACAAACAAACGAAACAAAATCAAAACCACAGACAAAAACAAACGAGCAGACTGCCGGGCTGTTTGAGGAGGATCGTGCGTCGGAAAGAATTAAAGCTCCACTGCGGAACATTTCCTCACACCAGAGCAGCAAAGAGTTGAGCAGCAGGAGAGTCAAACCTAAATAAAAGTGTAGGTTGTTGTTAGTGTTCGCGCCGGCGGCTCGCTCTGTTTACGTGACTGTAAATAATGAGCTCAGAGCAGAGGTGCATTCTGGGAAACGTAGGTTACATCACATCGAGCGGAAACTGTCGATGCATCAATGTTCTGCTCCAAACTCTTACGCAACGACACTCAGATGCCCTCCCACGCTTCTTTAAAAAAAATAAAATAAAAATGTTGTCAGCAATAATGCAGTAAGACATTCAAAATAATCAAAACATGTTTAAAGTCTGGACTCTGGACCGGTCTGGACTCTGGGTGGTCTGGACTCTGGACCGGTCTGGACTCTGGACCGGTCTGGACTCTGGACCGGTCTGGACTCTGGACCGGTCTGGACTCTGGACCGGTCTGGACTCTGGACCGGTCTGGACTCTGGGTGGTCTCGTGATGGAGATATGAAAGTTTAAACACCTCTGGGTTTGTCCAGGACCCACTTTCAAATCTGGGTCTGTCCTGTTCGGGTTTGTTTGGGTCCTGTGTGGGTCTTGGGTCCTGTGTGGGTCTTGGGTCTTGGGTCCTGGTCTTGGGTCCTGGGTCTTGGGTCCTGGGTCTTGGGTCCTGGGTCTTGGGTCTTGGGTCCTGGGTCCTGGGTCTTGGGTCCTGGATCCTGGGTCTTGGGTCCTGGATCCTGGGTCTTGGGTCCTGGGTCTGGGGTCCTGGGTCCTGGGTCTTGGGTCTTGGCCTGTGTGTGTTTGGGTCTGTTTGTGCGCATGCGCAGCTCTGAGTTTTGGAGTTCTGCAGAGTCACACTGAGCCCTTCTGACGTCACCGCCCTGGGGACCAATCAGAGCGCGTGTTTACTCCGGAGCCTTTATAAGCGCGCGCGCTCCGCTCCGTCCCAAACCGCTTTCAAGATGCGCGTGTCTCTATCGCTGCCGCTCCTCCTGCCGCTCCTCCTGCCGCTCCTCCTGCTCGTGCCGCGCGGACAATGCGGCAGAGACAGACGCGCGCTCCCGTGTCCGGACAAGTGCGACAAGTCCGCGTGCGCGCCTCTTCCCGCGGACTGCCTGCACGCGGACGCGCTGGACAAGTGCTCGTGCTGTCCCGTGTGCGCGAGCGGCGAGGGTGAGGCGTGCGCGGCGGACGCGGACTGTCCGGAGGGCACGCGCTGCGCGCTCCCGCCCGGCGCGGTGCAGGTGTCCGCCACCGTCAGACGCAGAGGGAACCTGGGCACGTGCGTGTGCGCGAGCCCGGAGCCCGTGTGCGGCAGCGACGGAAACTCGTACCGGAACATCTGCGAACTGAAGCGCGCGAGCCTCCAGCAGCCGAGCGTGATCGCCGTGCAGCGCGGCGCGTGCGGCGGAGGTGAGTACACGCACGCGCACTCACAAAAGTGACAAAAAGTTTCAAAAGTCACAGAAGAAGAAGAAGAGAATATTAAATCATTATATAAATGAAGATTTATAGAAGAGAAGTTAGAAAAGAGACGCAGACTCTGAGTCACGTGACCTGTCATGACCTGAAAACACCGGAGGAGACTGAGGGTCACGAGTCCATCCTCTGACCCTCTGACCCTCCTCTGACCCTCCTCTGACCCTCACTCTACTCCTCTGTCTCAGTCCTGGGGTGAGGTGTCTTGCTCCACGGCACAGAGTCTGGAGTTTGTCTCTGCTCATGTGTCGTGTCTGCAGCAGTTACACTGTGAACTGCTCTGACCCTGTGCCCTCCTGATCATGGTCCAGTCCTGGTCTAGTCCTGGTCTAGTCCTGGTCTAGTCCTGGTCCGGTCCTGGTCCGGTCCTGGTCTAGTCCTGGTCCGGTCCTGGTCCGGTCCTGGTCCGGTCCTGGTCTGGTCCAGTCCTGGTCCGGTCCTGGTCCGGTCCTGGTCCAGTCCTGGTCCGGTCCTGGTCCAGTCCTGGTCCGGTCCTGGTCCAGTCCTGGTCCGGTCCTGGTCCGGTCCTGGTCTGGTCCTGTACATTTGTGTGTGTAGTTTTGCTGACTCTGCTGTTTCTGTTCACATGGGTTTGTCCTGGTTTGGTCCAGATTTTAGCCCGGTTAAGTCCTGATGTAGGCTTGATTTGGTCAGGGTTTAGTGCTGGTCTAGTCTAGGTTTAGGTCAGGTTTAGTCCAGGTTTAGTCCGGGGTTAGTGTGGGTTTAGACTCTGAAATGCTGAATCGCTGAAACTCTGGACTCTGTTTCTCATGATTTCGTCTCTTTGGAATTTGAAGAAAAACTGAGTCATCCAAAAGTTTGACCTAAATCTGCTGCAGAGTTTAAAATCACACAGACTGATCTCAAATCACCACAGACTGATCTCAAATCACACAGACTGATCTCAAATCACACAGACTGATCTCAAATCACACACACTGATCTCAAATCACCACAGACTGATCTCAAATCACACACACTGATCTCAAATCACCACAGACTGATCTCAAATCACACACACTGATCTCAAATCACACAGACTGATCTCAAATCACACACACTGATCTCAAATCACACAGACTGATCTGAAATCACACACACACTGATCTCAAATCACACACACTGATCTGAAATCACACACACACAGATCATTTCCTCGGGGTTTAAAATCTGAATATTTCACATGTGAAGTTTGTTTGGTTTGAGGAGTTTGGGGCAGATTTTTGTGTCTGAGATTTAAACTCAAACAGCTGAGTCAGCAGAGTCGGGATAAAATCTGGACCAAACCAGGACAAACCGGACCAGACCAGACCGGACCAGACCAGACCAGACCGGACCGGACTGAACCTGCAGGAACTCTACATGTTCTACATAAACTTTTTGTGAAGTAAATTTTTATAGAAAACATGAAACAGGAAACAAAAAGTGTGTTTTATATTTGAAATAGAGATGTGTTTTTGTGTGTGTGTGTGTGTGTCTGTGTGTGTGTCTGTGTGTGTGTGTGTCTGTGTGTGTGTGTGTGTGTGTGTCTCTGTGTGTGTGTTTGTGCGTCTGATCCTGGTGCAGTGTCGTCAGCAGAATCTGATCCACCGATGGTTCAGATCCTCTTAACTCCCAAAGTCAAAGTCACTGCACAAGTCTGAGTCCTGGTCTAGACCTGGTCTAGACCTGGTTTAGTCCTGGTTTAGTCCTGGTTCAGTCCTGGTTTCAGTCCTGGTCTAGTCCTGGTTTAGTCCTGGTTCAGTCCTGGTTCAGTCCTGGTTTAGTCCTGGTTCAGTCCTGGTTTAGTCCTGGTTTAGTCCTGGTTCAGTCCTGGTTTAGTCCTGGTTTAGTCCTGGTTCAGACACAGGTGTGTTTGTTTTGGCTCTGACCTTTTCACTCTGGAGGTTTCCACATTTGAAATACTGAAAAAACACAAAACATAAAAACACGACTCAAACACGGAGGTCCTCATTTAGTCCTGGTTTAGTTCTGGTTCAGTCCTGGTTCAGTCCTGGTTCAGTCCTGGTTTAGACCTGGTTTAGACCTGGTTTAATCAGATCTGAGTCAGACCCAGTTCAGACCTGGTTTGGTCTACAAGCAGATGTTTTGACCTGGTTAAGTCTTGATTCAAACCTGGTTCAGAATGGGTTTAGTCCTGGTTTAGTCCTGGTTTAGTTCTGGTTTAGTCCTGGTTTAGTCCTGGTTTAGTCCTGGTTTAGTTCTGGTTTAGTCCTGGTTTAGTCTGGTTTAGTTCTGGTTTAGTTCCTGGTTTAGTCCTGGTTTAGTCCTGGTTTAGTTCTGGTTTAGTCCTGGTTTAGTCCTGGTTTAGTCCTGGTTTAGTCCTGGTTTAGTTCTGGTTTAGTCCCTGGTTTAGTCCTGGTTTAGTTCTGGTTTAGTCCTGGTTTAGTTTAGTCCTGGTTTAGTTCTGGTTTAGTTCTGGTTTAGTTCTGGTTTAGTCCTGGTTTAGTTCTGGTTTAGTTCTGGTTTAGTTCTGGTTTAGTCCTGGTTTAGTCCTGGTTTACAGATCGTATCGCTTTAATTATTTTTTCTTTAATAAAACCTGATTTTGTTTCAGTGTTTGTGGATTTTTCAGATTTCCAGATATTTTGACTTGAAGGAAAAAAATTAATTTGGAAAATCTTCAGTTTAATCAAATGTTTCCGGATCTGAATCCAGGTCAGATTTTATTTTGGTTCTGGATCTGAACGTGTCTGAGCCGGTTCCAAACATCATCAGATCCTCCGAAGATTAACACAGAGATAAAACACGAGAAATATGTGACAACAAGTCTGAACCCGGACCAGGACCAGACCAGGACCAGACCAGGACCAGACCAGGACCAGACCAAGGACCAGGACCAGACCAGGACCAGGACCAGACCGAGGACCAGGACCAGACCAAGGACCAGGACCAGACCAGGAGGACCAGGACCAGACCAAGGACCAGACCAGAGGACCAGACCAAGGACCAGGACCAGACCAAGGACCAGGACCAGACCAGGACCAGACCAAGGACCAGGACCAGACCGAGGACCAGACCAAGACCAGGACCAGACCAGGACCAGGACCAGGACCAGGACCAGACCGAGGACCAGGACCAGACCAGGACCAGGACCAGGACCAGACCACCAGGACCAGGACCAGGACCAGGACCAGACCAAGGACCAGACCGAGGACCAGGACCAGACCAGGACCAGACCGAGGACCAGGGACCAGACCAGAGACCAGACCAGGACCAGACCAGAAACCAGGACCAGGACCAGACCGACCAGGGACCAGGGACCAGACCAGACCAGACCAAGGACCAGACCAAGGACCAGAGACCAGACCAGACCAAAGATCAGACCAGAGACCAGACCAGAGACCAGACCAAAGACCAGACCGAGGACCAGAGACCAGGACCAGGCTCAGGACCCACGGGGAGTTTTATCTTTAAAAAAACATTGAAAAACAAACGGTTCATTCTTCTGTGTCCTGCTGCTGTTATCTGCCGTTTCCATGGCAACAGATCAGTTTAATGCCACAACCTGGGACATCTCATTAAACTCTGGAGATACAGTTACACCAGTACAAGATTACAGGTCAGATCTGTGGAGAGGCAAGCCCCATAAATATGATGTGTGGTCCTGTTCATGGTTTTGTTCAAACATGTTTCAATCCTGAACTAGTCCTGGTTTAGACCTGGTTTAGTCCTGGTTTAGTCCTGGTTTAGACCTGGTTTAGACCTGGTTTAGACCTGGTTTAGACCTGGTTTAGTCCTGGTTTAGTCCTGGTTTAGACCTGGTTTAGTCCTGGTTTAGTCCTGGTTTAGTCCTGGTTTAGACCTGGTTTCCTGGTTTAGACCTGGTTTAGACCTGGTTCAGTCCTGGTTTAGTCCTGGTTCAGTCCTGGTTTAGACCTGGTTCAGTCCTGGTTTAGTCCTGGTTTAGTCCTGGTTTAGACCTGGTTTAGTCCTGGTTTAGTCCTGGTTTAGTCCTGGTTTAGACCTGGTTTAGTCCTGGTTTAGTCCTGGTTTAGACCTGGTTTAGACCTGGTTTAGTCCTGGTTTAGACCTGGTTCAGTCCTGGTTTAGTCCTGGTTTAGTCCTGGTTTAGTCCTGGTTTAGACCTGGTTTAGACCTGGTTTAGTCCTGGTTTAGTCCTGGTTTAGTCCTGGTTTTAGACCTGGTTTAGTCCTGGTTTAGACCTGGTTTAGACCTGGTTAGTCCTGGTTTAGTCCTGGTTAGTCCTGGTTTAGACCTGGTTCAGTCCTGGTTTAGTCCTGGTTTAGTCCTGGTTTCAGTCCTGGTTCAGTCCTGGTTTAGACCTGGTTTAGTCCTGGTTAGTCCTGGTTTAGTCCTGGTTTAGACCTGGGTTTAGTCCTGGTTTAGTCCTGGTTTAGACCTGGTTTAGACCTGGTTCAGTCCTGGTTTAGTCCTGGTTTAGACCTGGTTTAGACCTGGTTTAGTCCTGGTTTAGACCTGGTTTAGACCTGGTTCAGTCCTGGTTTAGTCCTGGTTTAGACCTGGTTTAGTCCTGGTTTAGTCCTGGTTTCCTGGTTAGACCTGGTTTAGTCCTGGTTTAGACCTGGTTAGTCCTGGTTTAGTCCTGGTTTAGTCCTGGTTTTAGTCCTGGTTTAGTCCTGGTTTAGTCCCTGGTTTAGACCTGGTTTAGTCCTGGTTTAGTCCTGGTTTAGTCCTGGTTAGTCTGGTTTAGTCCTGGTTTAGTCCTGGTTTAGTCCTGGTTTTCCAGTAGAACAGGAAACATGAATATTTATTCGTGTGTAAAAACCTCGAGTCTTTTCATGGGCCAAATATAAATTCCATAAACATGGACTTCAGAACTAAACCAGGTCTAAACAAGGTCTCTTTCAGTCCGGGGTTAGACCGGGACTAGGCCGGGCCGGGTTTGACGAGTTTCTCTTGGGGATGAGTCATTTTGGATCTTTTAAAGTTTGATTTGAATAAAAAGCCGCAGGTTTGAGTCTCGTCGTTTAGAGTTTTTATAATTTAAGACTAAATGAAGTGTCCAGATGTGAGGAGGAGGCGGAGTTACGTAAGACACAACCGTGATGTCACTTCCTGTCCTCTGTCTGCAGATGTGGGCGCTTTGTAAACATCCTGAAAAACAAGACTGAACCAGGACTAAACCAGGACTAAACCAGGACTGAACCAGGTCTAAACCAGGACTAAACCAGGTCTAAATCAGGTCTAAATCAGGTCTAAACCAGGACTGAACCAGGACTGAACCAGGACTGAACCAGGACTGAACCAGGACTAAACCAGGTCTAAACCAGGACTAAACCAGGTCTAAACCAGGTCTAAACCAGGACTGAACCAGGACTAAACCAGGTCTAAACCAGGTCTGAACCAGGACTGAACCAGGTCTAAACCAGGACTGAACCAGGACTAAACCAGGACTGAACCAGGTCTAAACCAGGTCTAAACCAGGACTAAACCAGGTCTAAACCAGGACTAAACCAGGTCTAAACCAGGACTAAACCAGGTCTGAACCAGGACTGAACCAGGACTGAACCAGGACTAAACCAGGACTGAACCAGGACTAAACCAGGACTAAACCAGGACTGAACCAGGACTAAACCAGGACTAAACCAGGACTAAACCAGGACTGAACCAGGACTGAACCAGGACTGAACCAGGACTAAACCAGGACTAAACCAGGACTGAACCAGGACTAAACCAGGACTAAACCAGGTCTAAACCAGGACTAAACCAGGACTAAACCAGGTCTAAACCAGGACTGAACCAGGTCTAAAAACTAAACCAGGACTAAACCAGGACTAAACCAGGTCTAAACCAGGACTAAACCAGGACTGAACCAGGACTGAACCAGGACTGAACCAGGACTAAACCAGGACTGAACCAGGACTAAACCAGGACTAAACCAGGACTGAACCAGGACTGAAACCAGGACTAAACCAGGACTAAACCAGGACTGAACCAGGACTGAACCAGGACTAAACCAGGACTGAACCAGGACTGAACCAGGACTAAACCAGGACTAAACCAGGTCTAAACCAGACTGAACCAGGACTGAACCAGGACTGAACCAGGACTAAACCAGGACTAAACCAGGTCTAAAACCAGGACTGAACCAGGACTGAACCGAGGACTAAACCAGGACTGAACCAGGACTAAACCAGGTCTAAACCAGGACTGAACTGAACCAGGACTAAACCAGGACTGAACCAGGACTGAACCAGGACTAAATCAGGTCCAGACC